TCAATGCGAGAAATTGCAAGAAATCATTTCATTGAGGAATAACTGCCCATTATATATAATAAGAGAAACATGTGAGGCAATATGGAAATGGTTGTCTACAATATTTTTGCCTTCTCCCACTAAAGAAGATTTTAATAAATTTTCTGAAGGTTTCTTCAAAATGTGGAATATTCCAAATTGTATTGGTGCCTTGGATGGAAAGCATTGTTTAATTCAGGCACCATACAAAACTGGATCAGAATATTTCTCATACAAGAAATCATTCAGGTAATCATTACAGTTTACTTTAAAGTTGCATTATTATCAAACATGTTTTTATTTTAGTCTTATACTGATGGCAACATGTGATGCCTTCTATAAATTTTCAATGGTTGATATTGGCTCATCAGGATCTCTTCATGATAGTCAAGTGTTCAAAGAGTCTTATTTTGGAAAGGCATCAATGAAAAAACAGCTTCCAATACCTAAACATAAAGTGTGACCACATACATCAACCAGTTTGCCATGTTTTTTGGTTGCAGATGAAGCATTTCCGCTTCATGAAAACATAATGAGGCCATATCCAGGAGCACGACTGCCAGTGGAAGAGAAAGTTTTCAATTATAGACTTCTTCGAGCTAGGCGGAATATAGAAAATACTTTTGGTATATTAGTACAGAGGTGGAGAATTTTGAGAGGGCCTATTATTGCTGACATTGCATCAGCTGAACTCATTGTCCAAGCAACTGTTGTACTTCATAATTTTTTGCAATGTGAATATATGCTATAAGTAGGTTCCCATATTGTTCTCCTATGACTTTTTGTTTTTTTTTATCTCTCATGAATTTTATTTTTGGGTATTGGATATAAAATGCATTATTTCGTCACTTTCTGCTCCGATGATAATATTGGTGATCATGACTTTTCTGTTTTTTTTTATTTTTTTTTTGTTATTGCAGCATTGTATTCACTAGGGTATAAAAACTAGACCAAAAAAACTCGGAAATATGATAGTACTAAATACGCAATGTGATACTAAAATGATAGGTTATTACCATGTTGTTTTCTTACTACCACATGTTGTTTTCTTATACCTTTTTCTTTAATCTTTCAAATTGCAGCTTTTATATAGGAAATTAAATGCATCATTTCATTACTTTCTACTATGATAAAATCTTTGATCTTGATACCTATAACTACTGATTTTTCATCCCATTTTTTTTATATTTTTTTTATATTATAATGGCACATTTTGTTTCTTCGTTTTCATTGTAATATTATATTCACGGGGGTATGAGAACTATATATTAAAGAAACTCAGAAATATGAAAGTAGCTCACTTAAATGTGCGCTCTATATTCTCAAGGTTCAATGAATTTTCGGATCTTGTGGGTGGGATGGATCTGGACTTGATATGTGTCACTGAAACTTGGATGTCGAATGATGTGGTATCTGATTCTGTTATGTTACCAAATTATTCTTTCATCAGGAAAGATAGGAATAGGTTCGGAGGAGGAATTGGAATCTATTTGAGAAGCTTCATAAAATACCAAGTTCTGGAATTTGATGGTGAGTTAGCTAATAAATATTTGAACATTTATGGATAAAATTCAAAATTAATCAGAAGTCTTTCATAATTGGTGTCATATATCGCCCCCCCCCCAGAATAATTCTGTACTCGACTTTGTTAATGACATGGACAATATTCTAACGAATTTCATTCCTACTGTAGACAATTTGATATGTGTAGGTGATTTCAATCACGATATGCTTCAACCAAGTAATTTAATTTCAGATTGCTTCAATTCATTCAATTTTACACAACTTATAAATGAACCTACTAGGATTAATAGACTGCTTGATAATATTTTTATTAGTCATTCAAACTTGGTCATTGAAGCGAAGACGGTCAATGCGGATTTGATATCTGACCACAGTCTTGTTTTTTGTGAGCTACGAATACCAATCCATACAGCTAAAGAAAAATTTGTCATCTTTAGGGATTATTCCAGGTTCAATCTAAACGCACTTAAAACTGATCTAGAAAATCTACCATGGAATGAGATGCTGTACGAACAACATATTCAAAATCTTCGACTTACATGCACCTAAGAAGAGGGTAAGGGTCACTAAACCTAAATCACCATGGCTTACACAAACTTTGAAAATGTTGATGTCTGAACGCGATCGGGCACTGAACAAATATAAAAGAACAAAAACAGCTAATGATTGGTTAGCGTACAAGCAGCTCCGAAATTTCACTCTTACATCACTCAGAGGCGAGAAACGTGCATATTTAGATAACTTTTGTAAAAATAATGCCCCTTCAAATATTTGGAAAACTCTAAGAAATATGAAAGTTGTAAGTGGTAAATTAAATACTATTCCTGATAATCTAGCAAACCCTAACAACATTAATGATTTTTTCTCGAAAATTTGGACTGAACCTAGCGACGACATATGTGAAGACTGATTTCTACAATTCAAATTTTCTAAATGATGACGTCACAAAATTCGAATTCAAACTCGCAACAACCAATGAAGTGCACGACTTTCTGTTCAACATTATAAAACGAAAGCATGTGGATCAGATGACATCTGTGTTACAATGCTTAGATACTGTATCCCATTCATCGATTCATTCATCACACATCTCATCAATTATGGCATCGAGAAAAGTCAGTTTCCAGCACTATGGAAAATCTCTTTAGGTCGCCCATTACCCAAAGTCGCTATTCCAGTAGAATTTTCAGACCTTCGTGTTATCAGTATCTTACCTTGCCTCTCGGAAATTTTTGAAAAAGTTCTATGCAAACAAATACTTGAACATGTTGAAAATGATAAAATAATACCGACATGCCAGTCTGGATTTCAAAAACGCCTGAGTACAACAACATCACTAACGCAAGTTCTTGATGATATATTCTCCAATTTGGACAAAAGATGTGCTAGCATATTAACACTTTTAGACTTTTCAAAGGCATTCGATACTATAAACCATAAACTCATGATTGCTAAGCTTAAATACTATGGATTCTCGATTGACTCTTTGGAATTAATACAATCTTACTTTGCAGAAGGAAAACAAAAAATAGTATCGAATGACAGTCACTCAAATTATGTAAACATGACAGCAGGGGTGCCACAAGGCAGCATTTTGGGTCCCCTTTTCTTCATTATTTATACGGCGGATATACTGAAATCTATAGAACATTGTAAAATTCAGGCGTATGCCGATGACACCCAAATCTTCATAAACTTTCCTAAAGATAATATTTTGGAGGCCCAAAATTGGTTAAATTATGACCTTAACATAATATTTGGGAGAAGTCGGGCTCATAATCTGAAATTGAACTCTTCTAAATCAAAAGTTATTGTCTTTTCTCCAAAAAATTATTATGATGAGATCTGCTCGAATTTTAACATAAGTATTGATAATAAGCCGTTAAGTATTGTCCACTCGTCAAAAAATTTAGGTTTGGTATTCGATGATGACCTCAGATTTAAAAATCACGTTAAGCACATTCTGACCAAAACATTTATCTCCCTAAAAACTCTATACAGCAATAGGTACGTGTTGAATTTAAAACTGCGCAAAACTTTATGTGACAGCTTGGTCTTGTCCTAATTCGCTTATTGTGATTTTTTGTATGGTCCATGCCTTGATGGAAGTTATAGGTATAAAATTCAAAAGGTACAGAATTATTGTGTGCGGTTTATATATGGGTTACGTAAATATGATCACATATCTCAAAAACTGAATGAACTTAACTGGATCACTATGGAAAATCGTTGGAGACTTCACTTAGCTTTATTCATCTATAAACTTCTTAGGAATCAATCAGATGATAGTCGCTACCAGTTAATTCCGAGATCCAGCATACATTCAGTTAATATAAGACATCCCAATGCATTAACGATGCCTCATCATTCGACCGCCATTTATCAAAGAAGTTTCACATGTAATGCAATTAAGTTGTTCAATTCAATCCCAGACCGCATTAAAAGCCTTGGTCCATTCTCCTTCCGAAAGTTCATTAAACATGAGCTACTTTCTTCACAATGAGTATTGTTACGCTTTTCAATATGAATATTATGTACATATCCTCTTTTTTCTCTCTAAGTAATGTAGACTCACCTTCCCATTTGGACAGTGAGAGGTTAGATGTAAGAGTAGCCTTAGGCTAAATCTCGCCTCCTGCTGGACAGTGAACAATGTTTTTCTTCTTTGTACAAATCTTTGTACAAATCTTTATATATATTTTTTTGTATTATGGAATCACATAAATAAAGACGATTTTTTATTATTATTATTATTAAGAAGAGGATTCGCCAGAAGATGAAAGAAAATATTGCCCCACTGGCTATGTGGATGTAGAAGGACCGAATGGTGAAGTTTCAATGGGACAATGGAGATCAGACGAAAATCGTTCAGAGTCAGTAGGCAGGATAGGGGCTAATAACTCTGCAAGATATGTTAGAGTTAATAGAGATATCCTTGAAACATATTCCATGTCTCCCATTGGAAGCCTTCCCTTGCCATTAGACCATGTTTTGAGAGGTTCAGTTCCACTGTAATTGATTTTTTGAATTGATTAGTTTGTTCAATGTTTTATTGAACTAAATGAAAAAAAAAACAAATATGTTCACATATATGAGTCTTTTTTCATCACAGAAATGTCGTTCAAAATAAAATCACAAAAAATGAATATTCTAAAAAAAAAACAATCAAATTGCATTTCTACAGAAATAAATAAAATATCAAAAAACAAATAACAAAATTGATATCCAAAAGAAAAACAAATGAAATTGCATTCATACAAAAATAAATAAAATTTTCTAAAAAAAACAAATCAAATTGCATTTCTATACAGAAATAAATAAAATATCAAAAAACAAATAACAAAATTGATATTCTGAAAAAAAAATGAAATTGCATTCATACAGAAATAAATGAAATATTCCAAGAAATAAAAGATTAACAATAAAATATATACAAAAACCAAAAATAAAAAAAAGGATCATTCATCAGAATATTTTTCCAGAACTTCTAAAATTTCAATTTTGGCTCTAGCTTTAAACTTCCTATTTTTTATCATTTGCAAAGTCTTGCCAACAGACTTTGCGAAAAGAATGTCTTCATCATCATCAGGAACCTCAGGTGCTTGAAGGTATGCACCTATTTGATCGAATGCTTTCGACACTGTTTCTTCAAATGCTTTTATTGGTCTCTTCCTTCCTCTCCAGGTTTTCAAGTTCTCCTTAAGGCCGATTCTCACTAGAGCGGTGCCGAGCGGCGCGGAGCGGCGCGGCGCGGTACCTACTGGACGAAGCAGTTTTTGTCCAGGCTATTCTCACCTAAGCGGCATTTTGTAGCAGCAGCGGTGAGCGAAGCAGTAGAAATCTATATTTAATTATTTTGTTAAATGAAGTGATAATGAGTTTGGTAATACCGGAGGAGGATCCCACATCGTCATCATCAGACGATTTGGTTTTTGTAGCGGCAATATGTCATGAATACGAAAATAGAAGAAAAAAGAAGCGACAATATTGGGTTCATGACATATTTCGTGCAAGGCTGGAAGAAGGTGAATTTCACACACTATTTAGGAGACTGCAGCAGGACGAACGTAAATTTTACAAATATTTTAGGATGTCTTCAGGAAAATTCAATCAGTTATATGATCTTTTACGCATTCCCCTAACCAAGCAAAATACCAAATTTCGTCAAAGCATCAGTCCACTTGAGAGGCTAACTGTCTTTATAAGGTAAGTTGAAAACCTAATAAATCATAAATAAGGTTTAATTAGCATAGTTTATTATCAAAATAATTTAAAACTATAGTATAAAAAATTAACTCTTAATGTGTTGTAACATAAACGAATAAACTATGCAAAATGTCAAAAAATATTAACGGAAAATCTGGAATTGAAATGTCTGGTACTTCATTTTCACATCCTGTTTGATAGGTCAGTTGCAGCCGTATCTAAACCTGCATCTGTAGTTGGTCTCATAATATTTTGCCCAGAACTTTTTTCAATAGCAGATAATTGAGCTGCGAATGATGAATAGTATGCTGCTGAAGGAGGCTGTAATGAGTGTAATAATGACTCGTTATTGTAGCAAAGTAAAGAATTGGTGGTTGATTGGTTTTGCACTGGTGACTGATTTTGCATTGGAAGAATATGCATCTGCTGTGTGTGTACAGTTGATTGTGTTTGAGGTTGTGTAAGACTTTCTGTAACTAGTGGTGGAGCCGGTGAGGCTGAGGAAGCTTCTAAAAGCGCCAATTCATGGAAATTTACTATTTCAAAGATCTTATTTTTTACTTTAGCCTGCCATAATGGGGGAAATGTGGACGTAGTTTTCGCCATGCTTGTGAAAAATTCTAGAAGTGCGCTATCTTTACTATCTGTTGATTGTGTCGCAGTTGCCAAAGTTTGTTTTTCTAAACGGCTGCGTTTTTTTTCTTGTATATATTCTTTTAGTATCTCTGGCATAGATTCCGCTGTTCTAGGTGCACTTTTATTTTTTTTATTTGGAACCGCGTCACTTTTTGCGCTTGCAACACGAGATACTGGTCTTGAAACATTCACTGCACTTGAAGAACAAGACTGTTGGGTAGTAGGCAGCGATACGGATGGACTTGTCGGGTTTTCATGATAATTATTTTCGAAGGTTTGTTCCTCGGTTTCCTCGGTTTGTTCAAAATGGCTTTCAGAATCAATTTCATCTCCATCTTCGAAGTTCTCACCTGTTTCGTCACTACAAACGTTTGTTTGCGTCCTACAATTAATGAACTCTTGATAAGATAACTACCAACTTGAAACAATATACAATCTACTCACTCCCTTCCTTTAATATGCGGCAAAAGAAAGCTCATCGCATCCCAATATTTCCATTTTCTGCTAATTGTTGCAGCTTGCCCGGATTTTGTTTGCATACTTTTTGCAGCCTTTTGAAAAGCATCCCTAAGTGTTTTCCACTTCTTCTTGCAAATATCGCCTTAAACAATTTATTAAGTAAACTAGAAAGTTAAAGCAGTTAAAAAAAAAACTCGAATGGCCCGATAGTTAAGAAGTCTAAAAGGTTTAAAATATTACTCTATTGTTCAATTTATCTTTTCCAGGTTTTTGGCTACAGGAACAGACTACCAGGCGCTATCATTTAACTTCAGAATAGGACACTCCACCATTCAAAATATTGTAACTCATACTAGTAAAGTCATTTGGGAAACTCTAAGAGATGATGTCATGCCTCAACCGACAACGGAACTACTTCAGAACTGCGCAAAAAGATTTGAAAACCTCTGGAATTTTCCTAATTGCGTAGCTGCGATACATGGAAAGCATATCACCATGCAGGCACCTCCAGGAAGTGGGTCGTTATACTTCAATTATAAAAAAACATTCTCAATAGTGCTACTGGCATTGGTAGATGCTGACTATAGGTTTGTTGCTGTGGATGTTGGAGCTTACGGGAAGAACAGCGATGGTGGAATATTTAGTGACAGTAATATAGGAAAATGTTTAAAAAGCAAAACGTTTGGAATGCCTGACGATCGTCCTATTACAAATAATGGGAAACCCGTACCATATGTAATAGTGGGGGATGAAGCATTCCCTTGCAAAACTTACCTTATGCGACCTTATCCAGGTCGTGGACTACCACAAGATCAAAGGGTGTTTAATTATCGGCTTTCCAGAGCTCGCAGAGTATCCGAAAATGCTTTCGGACTTATGTGTCAAAAGTTTAGAGTTTTTTTGAATAAACTACAACTTCATCCCAAAAATGCAGATACACTTGTTTTATCTACTTTGTGTCTTCATAACTTCCTCAGAAATGATAATGCTCTCCTATGTGTATTAGATGATGAAAAAATGGAAAAGGACGTGCCAATTTTATCAGATTTATCTCATATTGGTGGAAAATTTTCGACTGATGCAATCGAAGTAAGGGGCATTTTTAAAGAATATTTTATGTCTCCAGAAGGTGCCCTTTCTTGGCAACAGGATACAGTTAATGCCGGTATATTGTAAACAACTTGGATTTTAAATTTTGTGACAAAAAACCACTAGTTTATACACCATTTATGCTAGATAATAAAAATATGTAATACTATACTATCATACTGTCCTATAATTTTTTTTTTTGGTTTAACCTGTATTTAAATTCCCTGTATGTTTCAATAATTCGTAAATCATAATGTTAGGTAACTGTGAATGCCGTATTCCGAAACTTGTTGTTTCTGTGAAAAGTAATAAATTATTATTTGAAAACTTCATTTAATTATTAAGAAGTCCGTATTTTCATGTGCAAATTAATTTTCGGAATGACATTTCAGTAGATTTAGAGAAATCAGCAGGTCTAAAATTGTTAATAAATGTAAGGTCACAAATCACAGAAACACCAGGTAAGATACAATGATCTATACAGAAGCTGCATAGCGTTTAAATAATTTAAATTATACATACATATATTCATTTTACTGTATAATATTTGAATTTCTGCATAGTTGGTTCTTCTGAGACATAAGTGCAATGGGAACTTACCATTTTCATTAAGTTTCTTCCCAATTTCTGACCAAATATTATCCCTCCTATTTTGGTTGCTGTAATTTTTATTTGACATGTCGTACAGTTCATTATAGTCATTAACTAATAAAATCAGTCTCTCAATTTTTTCCGCGTCCATATTTATTTCGTTTTCCAACCACTACTCTGAAATTGTTTTTTGAACAAGTCGCAGCTTGCTTTTGACGCGACGTGATTCACATTTGTCCGTCAACAGGCGGTAGGGAGCGTTGCAAAGCGGTAGTGCCGCGTGCCAATGCTCCTGGAGGCGTTGTGCGATGAACGCTCTGCACCGCTTCTCACCGCTCTGCACCGCTCTGCTTAGGTGAGGACGGGATCACTTATTTACAAGCAAATAATTGCAAGCGACTTTTGCCGCGCCGCACCGCGCCGCGCCGCGCAGCACCGCTCCTAGTGAGAATCGGCCTTTTATGCTCCTGCAGAGCTTTTTGAGAAACAGTTTTAGCTGTTGGTGGTGGTGTAGGGTTGGTGGATGGGCCTGCTCTAGGGCCTGCTGCTTCTGAATCTGAACATGCAGAACTATTCCCTAATTCCATAGCATCTTCTTCTTGAATGATGATTTCATCATTCCAAAGAGAAGATTGCTGGGACGATTGCTGGGATAACTGCTGAGATGACTCAGAATCTGGCAGCGCAGTGGCAGAGACATTGCCCAGAGTCCTTGAAAGAAAACATAGAGTCTTTGGCAAAGTAAACATTGAATATTATTACCTTCTTGGATTATAGAATTCATCCAAAAATTGCGGAAGGTTTTGTTTTCTCCTTCCTTTTTTCGGTTGCATACCGATTTCTTAGGATAACCCACCTTGCAGCTACACTTTCAGCTAAAAACATAGAATTTGATTGTCATCCCTGTACACATAGCATTTTTAGTATAATTCATAAATTACCGAAACAATAAAATATTTACCAGTTTCCTTCAAAATATCGGCAATTGTTTGCCAGGCATTTTCTTTCACCAACTTATTTTTGAAATCCACATGTTTCCTATCGTAAATGAACGAAAATTGTTCAACAAGCTCAATCAGCTGTCCGTCTGTATCCATTATAATATGATTGAAAATCTCGATCAAATAAATGAAACAAAACCTCAACATAACCTTTTATCAGCTGGGTGATCTTTTTTCGGCGCGAATAGTTGATATTTGACGCATGCGCTGTCGTGAATTATAGAAGAAATTAATTTGGCCACCTTTTTTAGTTTTAATTTTAATTTTTTAGTTCCTTGCATGAACACCTACATTACATTTCATATTTTCATGTTATTGGTTTATGTTTAAAATTCATTTAAGATTCAAATTTTGCTTGCATGAATCCACCTTTAGAAAGATGCCACTAAAATTGGTGATTATTTTATAAATAAATACTGTGCTCAACATTTTCATTCAAATTTCAATTTGAAATAGAAGCGATAAATCTTTTTTGCAGCCGATTTTAATAAGCTTCACTTCTTTCATGACATGAACCTATGTTAAGCATGAAATCTGATGAATTTCCTCTTTGAAGAACCAGAACAAAGAATGTATCAACTATTGAAATAGACCAATATCGAAAATCATAATAGACAGAAGAATTTATTCACACCAGTTAGATGATTCCATGATTTTGAATGAATCAGATGATAATATACCTATTGCTACAGCTAGCACTTCAGAAAGCTCTGTACCAAAAAAGAGGAAGACAAACAATATAAGGAGAGAAGTTGAGAAACTTAGAAAGGTAATAAAGAACAGAAATACTCATAAGAAAGATATGGAAGAAAAGAAATATGAACTAAGAGGAAAGATGCTGAAAGAGTTGAGGAGGAATAACATTTTAGAAAAATTGGTGGAAGAAAAATGATTAATTGGATGGAATTCACTTCATCATATACATTTTAAATTTTTGTTCAACTACATGATGGACAAACCAGAATGGTTCCTAAGTATTACCCTTGTTACTTCATTTCATCAGATTATTATTTTTTTAGAAAGTTGATTATTTTTGTTATGTTTGGTTGAGTATGTTCATTTTGTTCTGAATAAATAAAAAATTATTAATTTATTTTCCAATTTATTCTTCTCTTCTTGCATACTTCCTACTCCTCACATATTATATTTCTTGAATGTACAGCAGCAGCAGGCACTGCCATTTGGTTATCTGGTTCTGGCTGTTCATCTATTATAATTTCATCCAATAGAAGTATTTCCCAATCTTGGCTGCAAATGTTGTGAAGAACACAACAAGCCCTGATGAAATGGCAAATTCTTTCATGTCCTTCCAATTTAACATGGTATAACTGTCGAAATCTCTGTTTCAATATCCCAAATGTATGTTCAATATTAACTCTACCCGAAGAGAGCTATTAAAAATTTTTGAGAACCTGTAAGATGTCCATTATCATTATAAGGCGTTAGTAAATGGGGCAACAGGGGGTATGCACTGTCTCCAGATATATGAACCTAAAAATATGATTCACTTTTCATTAATTGATATTGAACTTCCTATGCACCATCACTACACAAAGTTTTCAACTTTTCTGAAATGGTTGAACTATTGAATACATGGACACTCCCAGGGTATACAACAAAAATGTCAATAAAATCAAGTTTTTCATACGAAAGCTATGGAGTGCCAGTGGAAAAAATAAAAAGTCGAAATTTCGACTTAGGAAGTCGAAATTTCGTCTTAGTAACCCGAAATTTCGTCTTATTAAGTCGAATTTTCGACTTACTTAGTCGAAATTTCGTCTTACTAAGTCGAAATTTCGTCTTACTAAGTCGAAATTTCGTCTTATGTGAAACGATAATTTGGAAATTTCGTCTAAGCTCACAGCCACAGAATGGTATTCTGTGTCACAGCTGTCACGTAAACGGTATTACGGTAGACGTATATAGTCGTATCAAAGAATAGTGTCTATAATCATCTTCATCATGGGATGGGTCTATAATACGTCTATGGTAGAGGTAGAGCAATGAACTCATTTAACACCCTTTAAACCCCTTTTGGCCATTTATTTTCCTTTTAGCCATCTTTTAACAACATTTGATGACGTGTCAATCGTGCATGATCACCTACTTTATAACTTTGTATATTGTTAATATTGAAAAAACGATTCTGAAAGCTGTATGTTATAAGACTAGAAGGGGAATTACTTCAACTGGTACTATAAATCATCAGATGCCACATCTGAAAATATTTTAAAAATCCTACAGTTTGATGAATATCTCGCACCAGAACAATGAAATATTATTTCCTTTTTGAAAATGTTCATAATGGAAAGTGACTCAAAGGAGTTGTCCAATTTTCTGAGATTCTGTACTGGTGCAGATATAGTCACTGATAATTTGATAAAAATAAATTTCAGCTCATTGAGAGGAGTTGGAAGGAGGCCTGTTGCCCATACCTGTGGTTGTGTTTTAGAACTTCCTGTTGCATATATGAATTATCCTGACTTTAGATCTGAAATGAAGTCAGTAATCTCAGCTAATGTATGGGTAATGCATATAATTTAAAGAAACAAAATTAAAGGTTAATACATGCATGGTCATTTCACTTAGTACCATATTGAATACCTTATTTTAACTATATTTCAGTTCTAGGTATTCTTCTTTCTCTTGACCTAGTGGTTTTTGTCATTGAAATAAGTCATTCATCAAGTGTGAATTTGATATTATGTGATCCTAAATGTACCTACTGAATAATATAGACATTTTTTGTATCTATCCTTCTGTTCAATGTATAAGGAGAAGAAGATTATGTTGCATATTTAGTTTTTTTATGTTTTTACTGATAATGAGTACCTGTATTATACTGAGAGTGAATTTCATGTACCGGGTGAACAACTAAGAACGGCTGTCAGCCATATCTCAGCAACCAATAATGATACAAGTTTGAGATAGAATAAATCTAATGGTATGCATATCATCACACGATGTAATAGAGAAACTAAATCTCAACAGACCAACGAAAACCGCAACATGATAGCTTTTCGTCAACGGAAGATACAGCCGTTCTTAGTTGTTCACCCGGTACAAGTATGATGTTGTGTTTATTTTTATGTTTCTGGATAGACATTTATTTTGGTTATTCAGGCATGGATTTGATGATATGTGATCCTAAATGTACTGAATAATAGTTAGTTTTTTATTTTCAATTCCTTTTGTTATACATATTAGAAGGTACCTTAATGATTATGTTGAGTATTTTAGATTTTTTTATTTTCACATCACAAGTACCTGTGTTATTCCATGTATGAGTCCTAGTGTTAATTTCTGAGTATTATGTACTGAATGTCTGATCCAAAGAGTACTGAATAATATATAGATTTGTTATTTTTATAGCTTTCTGTATATATTATACATATATTATACAGAAGGTGATAATCAATGAAATATTCCAGTTCAAGAAATAGTTTATTATTTTTAGATGTTTCATGACATGGAAACGGACATATTCAAGAAAGTGATGAGTATATTGCATTTCTCAATGTAATATATAAATCAATGTTATCAAAAGGGTCTTCAGTCTTCACCAGATTTCTTTCTTCCATGATCATTTTGCACATATCATAAACATCTTCATCACAAGGGTGGCTCAGAAACTCACATTCCTCTTGACAAATCATAATAGAATCTACATTTCTCATGGGGGTGATATAGTCTCTTCCCCCGAATAAGTTAGGTAACTCAAACATCATTACTGGTTTTCCTGAAGGTGAAATACTATTCCTGGATGCACTTATTTTATGTGTATTCCATTCTAGTGCAATTGAATTTAATTCTTTCTGAAAAAAATCCCATATCTACAATGAATAATCTGAGTAGGTAGGTAGGTAGGTAGGTAGGTAGGTAGGTAGGTAGGTAGGTAGGTAGGTATGTGTACCTGAATTATATCAATGAAACAAAATTGTATAAGTGCTTTATCCAAGAAGCTTCCATAATACATATCATCATCCTTCATTTGTTGAAATAAATTCATCCAAAGCTGTGCATTTTGTTTTCTAAGAATACTCCACCAGAATTCGATTTTTTGGTTGGCAGTACTCCTTCCATAAATAAATGAAGGGCTGCTTCCTCTTGTAATACTATTCTCCTCTTTCAAAAATATTTGGATAGCACGAGGGATTCCTCCTAATTCTGACACAGCATTACAGTAATATCCTCCAATAACTTTTGGATCATTATTTGTCCTGGCTGCTTTCAGCCACAGAATACATCTGGAGAATCCATCACAACAACCATTGATACAAATTACATAAGGTTTCAACTTGTCATAAGAGTCAAGATGCCAAAGAAAATTTGGCCCTCCGTCTCAACCTTCTTCGTTTTCGTAAAGAAACTCCTTGTTGGTCTACCAATTTCAATAGAAAACGAATTGTGTTTTTTGTAACAACATATCCTTCTTGGATACATTTCAAATGCATCCATCGATACCCGTGCATCTGCCCTGATTTCGGGGTTTCAGCTCTAACAAATGATATAATTTGTTCCAAATCAGTATAATGTTTTCTTCGAAATGAACCATTTTTCCTTTAGATCCTCTTGAGGGTGCGTATGCTAATAGAGTACTTATGTTTCTCTCGCAAGATACATAGTATCTCTTCATTATTTAGAGCGAGTTGAAAATAAGTTCGAACTAAGCCGTTTATACTCATTTTCAATACTTGAAGTTTATGACCT